GCATGACAAGGTACGGTTGGCCTTCCTGACTGCATCCCCACACTGCCAGCCCATGTTCATCTGAGCATCAACGATGACTCCAAGATCCTTTTCTGCCTCTGTACTGACGAGAAGGGAGTTCCCCAGCCTGTAGGTGTGGTGCTGGTTCTTCCTCCCCAGGTCCATCACCTTGCACTTGTCAGTATTGAATCCCATCCTATTCTCATCCGCCCACCCCTGTACTCTGTCTAGGTCTGATTGCAGCCTATTCCTCCCTTCTAGTGTGCCCACTTCCCCCTACATCTTAGTGTTGTCAGCAACTTTGAACAAAGTGCTTTTTACCCCCTCATCCAAGTCACTGGTGAAGATGTTGAACAGTGTGGGCCTGAGGACCAAGCCCTGCAGAACCCCACTGACCACATCCATCCAGGTTGAAAAATGATCCATCCACCACCAAGTTAAAGAAAGGGGGGAGCAAAGCTCTCATGAAATGAGAGGATTCAGGTATGTGTTGCTGAATGTCAGGGAGAATGGTGAAGATGGTGCTGTTATGCCAGCAGGAGGTATTTGCTGGTGGATGGGGAAGGTTGTTTTAGGTTCAAGTGAATTCTAGGAGAGATGTTTTGAAGCTGTGTGAAGAATTTCAACTACTTCCTATATCACAAGAAAATTTAATGCATAATCCTATGGGAAATAACGCTGAAGATGTAGACAGACAACATGTTTTATACTAGTGTTAAAAGTTTGAAACAGATGATGCAAACCTTTGCACAGGCCAATAGAAGTGTGTCCCTGAAAGAATTGGGGGGTAAAGTCCTACAGGTATAAAATAAACTAGTTTGAACACAGTCAGTCCATATCTGTGCTGAGGTACTTAGTTGCTAAAGGCAAACAGACCATTTACCTGCTGCCCTCTCACATAGTGGTGAGGTGATGTAATAGGGCCTTTTTCACATGCAAGTGCCGGGCGCTTTGAAAAGTGCCCAGCACCGCATTGCTTGCAGTTGTATAAGTGGCAAAATGCACATCAGCATGCAGAAAATAGTGGTGGTCCACTTTTGAACTAAAACACATAGAAGGTGTTAGTTCAAAAGTGCACTGCTGCCACTTGCTCTGTGCTGACGCGCATTTCGCTGCTTCTACAACTGTAAGTGACACAGCACTGTGTGCATCCACTCACATGCGGAGCAGACTCAATTAATTGAGTCTGCTTCGACATGCTGGAGATCGATGCACTGGATCTCCAGCGTGTCTGGGCACAAAAATGTATGTGTATAAGTGCCCTGCCTGCTGCCCCAAGACAGCTGTGTGTCTGTCCATTCCTGATTCTGGTGTAGCTTGCCGTTGTATACTGATTATAAATTACCCTGTTCTTAAGTGGTCTTAGGTCCATGCTTTGATAAAATGATGCTGGCAAAAGTAAATTGGGACAGAATTAAGTGATCAGACCTTCCTGTTAGCTTTAGAAAGCTTAAGCAGACATGCTCAGTGATTCTGGATGAGTGCAGACACTCTTAGAGTACAGGTTGCTGGCACAGAGTGATCTGGGTCACTCAGTAAGCCAGACGAAAGGGAACAATACACATTTCAGTATAACCATGCGGGACAGCATGACACCAAAAGACTGGAGTCTTTGTGGATTAGTGGCTGAACATGAGCTCTCAGTATCGTGGCCAAAAGGGCTAAAACAGTCCTTAGATTTATAAACCAGTGAGGAGGAGAGATTTTTCATACCTCTGGGTTTAGCACTGGTATTGACCTGCTGCTGGAATACAGTGCCCGTGGGTGAAAAGAAGTTGATTTTTGCCTTGCGGAGGTCTGGGACTGGGCAGAGGACAGGGAGCAGCAGTAGACTTCAGTCACTGATGTCTGCTAAGACACTATAGGGCTGCATGAAATCACTTGAGGACAATCTCCAACTGAGAGAGGGACTGCTACAGAGGCTGAAAAGGTAGGAAGAAACCTGGATACTTGGATAGCTCTGGGTCTGATCATAGAAGGGGCACAGAAGAGCAGAGACAATGGGAAGCCAAAATATGTCTAATGCCAACCCTCCTGAAATCTTAACTCCCTGCTGGAAGCTGAACCTGTGTAACTGGGGACAGGGCATAACAAAAGGCTAGTGCCTGGGTTTGCTTTATTCCCTGTACATGCAGCCTGCTGGTAGTGATACAAGAGTACAAAGAATCAGTAGGCAGGAGCATTATACTGAAGTAGAGAAAGTCTTATCCTTGGTCACAAACAGAAGAGAACTGTTTAATACTATAACTGTCCAACCCTGCTTTGTCATTGGCTACAGTTCATAGATATTTTTTTCCCTTTCTCCCTCACACCCTGGGAAGGAGACTACTGCAGGAATGTTAGTTAATGATTGCCCAATGTTATCAGATGGGGTAGAGCTACAGCAAATGGCAGTGGGGCTAGATGTATGGGGTTTTATTTACTTATTTTTTTTAATATGCACAAAGTGAACTTTGATTAACAAAGGCATGAGAATAGACCAGCAGAGCGGATCTGCGAGAGAATGCATGCCCACTGTTCGATCTGTCTAATGGCTGTTTGTCTGTGCTGTGCAGTCCAGCCTCTTTTCTCATCACCCACTGGAGAGCTGCAAGTGAGTCTCATTTTCATCTGTGCTTTTTCTGTAGCTACATGCTTGCTGCAAAAAAAAAGTGTGGCTTTTTATACTGAAGAAACTTGCCATTAAAATTATGGTAGAAGCAAGGTTTTACCTCTATCTCTTGAGTCTAACCTAAAGACATTGTGGTAAAAAATATCTGTGACTTGTTTCTGCTATATGTGCAGGAAGATAGGTATCTTGTTGTTTAAAAAAAAAATCCCACATGCTCTTTTGCAGTGAAGACCAAATGTCTGAGCCAACCTCCTTCCCCCACCTGTTTAAACGTAGCACGAGGGGGTGTAATAACCAGATGGTCTATTCAGTCATCAAACACTTTCCAAGAAATACCGATGCCCTGAACCTGCCACTGCTACATAACAATCCGTCCCGAAAATGTTAGGAGGCAGGTGAGGGAAGGATTACATGTACTTGACTTACTGTTGAATACCTAGATTAAACGTTTGAAGTCTAATCAATAAATGTGGCTTGAGGTTCTGAACCTGCCCTCATATCCCTGTTCCTCTTCTTTTTTTACTGCCACTTTTAGTTGAAATATCTTTTTCTTTGTTGTTGCATGAAAGGCTCATACAAATTAGGAAATGGTGAAATTGCCTGTTTACAATGTGTAGCTGAATGATAGCATGAGGAAGGCTTCTTTCAGTGTAATCTTGTGTACAGTACCCACAATAGTTTTGGTTGTTTTTTTTTAAAGGGTGGGCAGCGGTGTGACTTTGGGTTGAGGTTGTCCCTTTAAGATGGCGAGCCTGTTGGCACAATGGCAGCGCAGTTGCATGCTCCCAGGAGAGATGAGATGCATAATGCGCCAGTTGGTGAACTTTGCTCTTTGTTGCCTTCAGAAACAATCGGTGGACTGAGATGATATTAACCTTGGTTGATGACGTTGGTGCAAGTGGTCTTGTGCATTTGAGTGCACCCAACTTCTCTGAGAGACGACCATAGGGTAGAATTCAGAGGAGACAAGGATTTACTGTTTTCAGCCTAGCAGCCTTCAGTCATGGAGGTTTCTACCTCATTGTTGGGCAAAAATTAATTCCTGTTGTCCTTCTTTTCTACCAAACTCCCCAGGAAGCTGGGCTTAATATTGAACTCTGTGTTGCAGGTCTCTTTTGGGGGGTGTCTGCCCTTTTTTTCCTCCCATCTCTCTGTCGTCTTGTCATCTCCTCCTGCAAATTTGTGAATTAGACTCTTTCTCCTTTGGGTCAATTTGGCACTCATGAGGCCAGGCCCATTTGCTCTTCTCTCCATTTCCCCCCTCTTTACGAAACCTGCAGAAGAGGACTAAGAAGGATCACGATGAAGCCACTCTTTACAAGAACTCAAACAGAACGGGAGTCAGGGACTATTCAGCCTGGCACATCTGGAATACTGTGGTTGTAGATGCGACTCAAGAACCCAGCCCAGTTGCATGTGAGGCTAGTTATAGTACAAAGTAGCACAAACCATCTTCTCCTGACAATCTTGCTCGGCTAGGTAGTGTTAGAAAGAATAGTCCCAATCTCTTGCTACCAACTGAAAATACTTCCTTGCTGTAGAGTTCGACTCTTCTTTTAATGGGTGACTGGCTGCACTCTATATACAGGCTCATGGCAGTGGCTCAGCACTGAGGGATTGACTTGGGTAAGATTCTATAACATTGAGCTGGATTATAAAACCTGAGCTGCGTGGCTCGGTAGCTGTTTTGTGCCTCTGAGCAGTGAGTTTCCATGTGGGTTGTGCCATGTGAGCTGTATGAGTGCAATCTTCTCCCCTGGTGTGTGAAAGGAGGTAGCTATGTGTTCCTGGTTGGGGGAAAATGTATTTTGAAAAATATTGCCCACACTTGTGCTTGCAGTTAATAAATGCAGCATGGTGTCTGAATGTGGGCTGCCACCTGAGAGATTTTGGGTAGGGACAGCATGAAGTGTAGGGTCATTGACACCTTTCAGGAGGCACTTGGACCTTCTGTAGAGTCATGTCCAGTGGAAAATATGCAGTAGGGAGAGTGGTATTAGCATGGCTGGAGCAGCAGTAAACTAGAGTGGTATGAATGAGGTCCACTGCCCTTCCAAATCAGAGCTGGATTCTAAGTCAGTTGAAAGGCTCCCATTTGATTGCAGGGGCTTTGCATCCAGTCCTAAGTGTAGGAAATAACGTGTCACAATCCTGCACCTTATGAATATTGCATAAATTGGCTTGTCAGTTTTTAGTATCCATGGCCATCTTTCATATGCCACATTTATCTACATTTTGTCTCCTCTTGAGTGCTGCAGATTTTTTCATTTCTGTTTGAAATCACTGAAGTTGAGCATCTGTTGTCTAATTTATGGCTGTGGTCCCATAGAAGCCTGTGGAGAAGCCTGGCAGAAGCCTCAGAAAATATGAACAGCCTTGCCATGTTTCCAGGGGGCTTCATTTTATAATGAGTGTTGCTCTGAAAGTATACTTATCAGGAATTCAGATAAGGGATCCTCTACTCTGTTGCAGAATTATGGATCAATAAACAGTGCTACATGGCTTTTGCTGGTTAACAAAAATATTTATGTTGGATTCAGCTGGTTAAAGATGCACATTCACATGTGTGCTTGGCTTTTAAGGCTTGCTTTATAACAACTTTAACATTTCTAGCACTACAAGAGACACTGGTTTGTGGCCAGCCTGTGATACCATTAATTTCTGGCTCTCATTCTCTTTTTATTGTCTCACCTTTTTAGGAATTATTTTTTGGGGTAACTTGTCAGAATTCATTTGGGCTACAGCTCAGTATGAACCAATGCATTCAACATGCTCTGTGTGCATGTGAGTGGGGTGGAGAAGAATTTGAGAAGCAGTGGGGGGAAACCTCTAAAAGACTGTGCCAGGGTCAGGAGACCAGTTTTATTTTCCCACTCTGCCACTGACTGGCTGTATAAGATTGGACAGTGCACTTTGCTGCTCTATCCTTTTTTTTTTTTTTACTCTTGTACCTGTTGTCTGTCTTGTCTCTAGCTTATAAGCTATTCAACATAATTTCGCATGTACAGCGCATACCTTTTTGCCAAATTGTAGCTGCTGGAAATTTAGGGTGTGCACTATAAGCAAGAAAATGCAATAACTAGTTTCTGCTGCTTAAGTTTCTGCTGAACAAAAGCAATTCTGCACCTGATGCAGGGGAGCAGAACAGTGAGCAGGCATGTCTCTCTCACTGCCACCATTCAGCAAGGAAAGATTTTTTTCTTCATTCTGTCTTTCAGAACCAAGGCACTTATCTTATTCTGCAGTGTATTGTATACGAGAAAATACAGTCAACATATTGCCAGCCTCCTGCTGCCTAAATGGAGCTAAGCTTCTTGTTCCTTTTGGTCCTGTTTGTTTTTGAGGCTTTTTTTTGCGTAGATGGAATTGCACATACATTTTAAACCAGAGTAGAGTGTCTCTGTCTCTCTCACTCACTGATGTCTGGTTCCCTCCCCTCCTCATCTCATTCAGTTTTTCATGGTGCAGAGCATATTCACCTAGAAAAATTGCTTCCCAGACACTGGCCCTCCTGCAGATTCCCTAACACCCTTGTAGAAAGTACAGCAGCAGCTCACATGGGAGCAGCATGTGAAGAAAGTACTCATAGCTCCTTCTGCTGAGCTGGGAATGGAGAGCAAGCTCTCTACATCCTCCAGTGTTGAGGCTTTGTCAACTTATGGTGTAGAGCTAACAACATGCATTCTCCAAGGCAACAGCAAAGACCCTCCAACAAATCCAGGGAAGCTGAAGCTTCTAAGGGTTTTGAAAAAGCAAAAACTGTGGGAGAGAAGGGAGGAAAGGGAAAGCTTAAGGGATCAGCTTTCCTGCCTTTATTTGTACACCATAATGAAGGGCATACGCCCAAATGCACACAATCCTTTGCAGGTCCCATTAGCTCTTAAGCTTGTTTCAGTTGCTCAGTTGTTGAAAAATGGCAATATCCAATTTCACCAAGATGGTCAATATTGCTGCCAGCTGCCTACCGAGAAGGTGAAAAACTTGCACCAAGGTGTAGATAGCTATAGGACCCATCAATACAGTCTTCTTGCTAACACTGTAATGTGCAAAGCAAAAGCTGGAGCTTCCCAAGTGAAAAAGTGATGATGGAGTATGTGACCCACTTTTCAAACCTTGATGAGTTTCCCAAACCAGATCCAGATTGTGTCAGAGGTGAAACTGATACTAAGGCACTTCTTACCTATGTTAAAATAAAAGCATGAAATAAAGTCTTCAGTTAAAATGAGGGAGAGAGCTTACAAGGTACATGTGCATGCATGCTGAGAGACACTATAACTGCAAGTAAAAGGAAAGGAGATTAGAAAACACCCCAGAACAAG